AAGCTTTCTGGGTTGTCCCCCCTTTCCCTTTCTCTCGTCACCACGGATCTCTCCATCTCACCCAGCTCTTCTCCTGGTCCCAGAGTGTTCTTCTGGCTGGGATGGGCAGGGGAAAGAATGTATTCCCGGTGGGACCGGGCAAGGAGAGAGCTTTGGAGAGAGCCCAGAGGAGTTTGTTCTTCATCCTGCACGGCCTCTTGGTGAGCAAAGCTTCCCCATCCCCATAAACCTCCACAGCCCCACAGCAGCTCAGACGAGCCTTCTCCTGACCGTCCCTCCCCAGCAGCTCCCATGTCCCCACTGACACCAGTCCCGCTGCTCCCCCATCCCTCTGCTGCTGGGAAATTCCCGGCTGCTCCCAGTAGCCGCCTGCTCTCGGGATGAACCTTGCGCCGTCCTTCTTCTGCCTTGAAACTCACTTCCACTTTCTGTGTTTGTTCTATTTACTAATCCCCCTCCTGCTGGGAAATCTGGTTCTGTTTTCAGGGTGTTGCTGCACTGACGAAGCCAGGCAGCCTTCTCCCTCCATCCATCCCTCCCAAATTCCCCTGCTGGCGGGACATCGCTTCCACTGTCAGGATGCTGCTGCAGCTCCCAGCACTGCCCCACATGCTGCTGTGACCAGGGAACACTTGGCCATGGGGCTGGGAGGTTTCCAGGGGTCCGCAGGGATGGCCGCCAGCTCACGGCAGAAAATTGTGACACTCAGGAAAGTCCCTGTGAGCAGGGGCTGGGCAGACGTGTTGGGATGAAGAAGGGTTTCCTGAAGGGTCCAGTGCTGGAGAGGGCTGGGGCTGTGGTAAAAGGTGTTTGTTGGGAATTGGGGTGGACACAGGGCATCTCCAGGACGTTGGGCACTGCATGCTGTCCCCAAGAACTGAGCAAGAGCCTCGCATGGGCTGGTGACACCGGGGTCTCTGAGCCCCCTGGTCTGCTGGGAGGTGTCCCTGCCCATGGGGCTAGGTCTAGATGGGCTCCCAAGGTCCCTTTCACCCACACCCCCAAAGCACATGATGGCTCCCCTCCAGCCCTGCCCAGACCCCCTCCTGGGCTGTCCCCTTTGGGAGGGGGTCCATCCAGACGTACCCCGTGTTGCTCCCCCATTCCCCAGCTCAGGATGGGGGACAGGGGGTCAAGCAAGAAATAGGGTCCCCTTGGCCCCCTCGAGAGCCTGGGACTGAGCAGGGGGTTGGACACATGCTACAGAAGGGGCTGAGCTGTGAGAGCGATGGGTGGTGGGAGCGCCGGGACACTGCCATCCCCCTGTGGGACAGACACAAGGACACTTTCAGCCAGTGCCAGCTGGCTGTCCCGCTGTCTCCAGAGAGAAGTTCGGCTCTGGATTTCTCCGGGGCTGAGTCCAGCCATGGGTCTGGAGGTGCCGCCAGCGCAGGAAAAACCCCCAAACCCTGGGTGGAGGGACAGCAGGTCCCCAGCCTTTCCTTCTGGAATGCTTTTCCTGCTTCAGGTCAGAGGGGAAAGCGAGCGTCTGAATCCAGACAAACCAGCAGCTCCGTGTTCCTCCTCCTCTGCTGATCCCTGCATTCTCGGGCACAGGGTCTGCAGGGGTCCAGCCAGTCCCGGGAGCTGCCGGCAGTGGGCAAAGCTCTGCACCCCCCGGTCCCTGTGATGGGGAGGGGGCTGCAAGCCTCAGATGGCAAAGGATAGGCAAATTCTGAAATACGATGGCGAGAACTTACACTTCTCCTGCCTTGTGTTCGCTGGAAGTGGTCCTGGATGTGCGGCAGCCCCGTGATGTCGATCACCTGCAGGTGTCCGGGTGCGATGTTGTACTGCGTGAGCATCTCCACGGTGTTCCGGCAGTACGGGCAGCCCTCCCTCATGAACATGGTCACTTTGCCATCACTGACGATGTTCTTCACAAACTGGTCAGCCATGCTGCTGTTTCCGGAGGAGCAGGAACGCTGCCCGGCACCAGCGAGTAGGAGGGACAGCAGCAGCCTCAGCCCAGGACATTTATGGACTGCATGGTGCACTCCTCTTGGGAAACTGCTCCCCAGGAGGACACAATCCTGGCACTGGACCATGGGTTTTAAAGCAGCGACACTTCTACTTTCTATCTGCTCTATCTGCTGGGTGTGAGGCTGCAGGAGCTGCTGCTGGGTGTGACACTGGCTGGGGCTGAGCTCCACCTGCTGCAGGATGCTGAGACCACCCTGGGGGGACAGGACAGACACCAGGACACCTGCAGGTCGGTTAACTGGCCTCCATCCTTTGGCCCAGTTCCCATCCCAGAGAGGAAACAGAACATTGATTGTTTGGTGTGTTTGTGTTTCTACCCGCAAACCTTCCCTGCTGGGTGGGATTCCCTGCCTGGAGTTGTGCCAAAATGGTTCCAGTTCCCAAAGGGCCTATGTTCTGCCCCCTGACATGAACTAAGAACCAGTGTTCCAGAATTGTTCCAAGAACCTGTTCCAGAATAGAAAAAAGTCCCCAAGTGTTACTTTAGTGGACCTATGCTGAAAATGTATTTAGGGAACATATTGAAGGAACATAAAAGACTCAACGCACCCATTGCATGACACAATTTGGTACAATCTTATAAACTTGGCAGAGAGAAAAGTCCTTCATGGGCTTAAAATCATGCAAGATAGCCCAGCCTGGCAGGGTAAATTGTTCCCAAACGTCCAGTGTCAAGCTGCGAGATGACGTTGCACCCACCAGTGAGCTCGTTGGAACCGCGTCCATCCCCAGCCCCGCAGCATCCCTCCCCTGGCTCACGGCATCCCCTCACCCACATGAAGCTGCTTTGTCACAGGGCAGGTGGGTGACCCTGCCCAGTATGTCCCACCACTGCTGGGCAGATCAGCCTAACATCCAGCTTTGTTAAACTGCTCAGCCAGGCTGTGCTTCCTTTGAACTCAGCTGGTTCATTGCCTGGGAGTCCCCAGTATTCTCCACATGTTTAATGTGCACAGAATGACAGAGACCACAGGACATCTGTCACGACCGAGCACATAGAACCACCCTGGGTGGGACGAGTGGGGCTCGCAGAGGTTCTATATATATATTCCCTTGGGGCAAAT